AATGGTCATCTTCTTGACCAAACACGAGCGTTGTTGTTCCAAAGTATCTTTGGGGAGAAAGCATACCTCATTAACCGACTACCCTCTAGAGTGTTGGAATTAAGGAGTCCTATGGATATTCTTTCGTCCTTCTATCCGAACATTTTGACCACTAATAATCTTGTCCCACGGATTTTCGAGTGTGTCTCATTTGTTCATATCCACCGTCAAGGTAGGGGAAAGCTTGATCCTAAAGCTCTAAAATGTGTTTTTGTTGGATACTCTACTACTCAAAAAAGGATATAAACCTTATCACCCTCCAAAAAAAATATTTGTGTCTCGAGATGTTACATTTCATGAAGAAGATGCCTACTTCATACAACCTTATCTTCAAGGAGTGCGTCTTACTTAAAATAAGGATAATACTCTTGAAACTCTTAATCTTCCAAATCTTGAAACAAATTCCCATGAGCTCAACTCAAGAAGAGAAGTAGCTGCAAATGAATCTGAAATGAGGCATTGGTCAAAGATGGATTTGGACATGAATCTGAAAATGAAGTAGTGGCTGAAAATAGAATTGAAAATGAATCTGGGGTTGAAAACAGAGCTGGAAATGATAAGTTTAGAAAGAATTTGGTGAATAGTAGAAGATTGACGGCCACTCCTGAATCAACAAATGTCCAAGAAATCGACCCAAACTCTTCAATAGAGGTAGCGAATTCTGATTTTTCAATTTTACAAGATGATATTTCAGCCCCACAAAGTGAAACACAAAATCCAACAATTGAAGATAACCATGACCTACCAATTGCCGTTAGAAAGGGAGTTAGAGAATGTACAAAAAGACCACTTTATCCACTTTCAAATTATGCTTCATAAAAAATTACCTTTCTTGCAAACTTAAATGTCATCCGAATTTCCAGTAATGTTTTCGAGGCATTATCTGATAAAAATTGGAAGCAGACTGTGGATATAGAAATGGAGGCATTAGAGAAGAATAAAACATGACAGTTAGTTGCTTTGCCTGAAGGAAAGAAACCAGTTGGTTGCAAGTGGGTGTATACAGTAAAATATAAGGCTGATAGGACAGTTGAGAGGTACAAAGCAAGACCGGTTGCTAAAGATTTCACACAAACCTACGGCATTGATTATTCAGAAACCTTTGCCCATGTGGCAAAGATGAATACAGTTCGAGCTATATTATCCCTTACTGCCAATTATGGATGGGAGTTACAACAATTTGATGTGAAAAATGTAATTTTACATGGAGAGCTTGAAGAAGAAATTTATATGGAGATTCCACCTGGATATGGGAATAATGTTGTTGCCAATTCAGTTTTTAAGTTGCGAAAAGCATTATATGGATTGAAACAATCACCTTGGGCATGGTTTGGAAGGTTTACTAAGGCTATGATAGTCTTAGGATACAAACAAAGTAATGGAGATCATACACTGTTTATTAAGCACTCTTCTTCAGGGGGGAGTTACAGTGTTGTTGGTATATGTTGATGACATTATTGTGACTGGAAATGATTGGAAGGAATAACAGGTCTTGACTCAACATTTCACAAAAGAATTTGAAATGAAAAGTCTTGGGAGGCTGAAGTATTTTTTTAGGAATAGAGGTGGCTCATTCAAAAAAGGGTATTTTTATATCTCAACAAAAGTATATCATGGATTTACTCATGGAAACAGGTAAGCTAGCTTGTAAACCTGTGGGAAGTCTTATAGATCCAAGCCATAAGTTAGGTAATGTGGAAGAAGGTGCAGTGGTGGATAAGGAAATGTATTAAAGATTGGTTGGGAGACTAATTTACCTTTCCCATATAAGGCCAGATATTGCATTTGTTGTTAGTGTGGTTAGTCAATTTATGCACAATCCAAAGGAAGCTCATTTACTTGCCGCTCACAGGATTTTACAATATCTTAAGGGAACTCCAGGAAAAGGGATTTGGTTTAAAAGGAATGGAAGTGCTACTCTTGAGGCATATACTGGTGATGCAGGTTAAGCTATTGATCGGAGGTCAACTACAGGATATTGTACATTTCTCGGAGAAAACCTCGTAACTTAGAGGAGTAAAAAGAATAATGTTGTGGCCCGATCCAGTGCTGAAGCTGAATTTCGAGCTATGGCACAAGGTATTTGTGAATTACTCTGGTTGAAGATTATTTTAGAAGACTTGAAGATTAAATGGGATGGTCCTACGAAGCTCTTGGGATAATAAATTAGTAATTAGTATAGCTCACAATCCAGTTTAACATGAACGAACAAAACACATTGAAGTGGATAGACATTTTATCAAAGAGAAGCTTGATTGCGGTTTGATTTGCACTCTTTATGTTCCTTCACAAGGTCAACTTGCGGATGTCTTCACCAAAGGATTGAACTGCCCAAATTTTAAAAAAAATTGTGTCCAAGCTAGGAATCGAGAATATCTATTTACCAGCTGAGGGGGAGTGTTGGAAATTCTAATAATTTAATTCTGCATTTTTCAAGTAGTTAATTCTGCATTTTCCTAGTTAATTCATTGCATACTAAGTTCTATGTATCTTGGTAATTTGTATTAGTTTAATTCCTTTTTTTTTTGTAAAATGCACATAATTATTATCATTGTAAATTGTAACTACGTGATTATAAATTAAGCATTATGCTGAGAGCATTGTATCTCAAGCACATTCAAAACAATATTATTCTTATTTTTCACAATGTAGAATTTTGTTGTGTTGAATAACGCCGACGTGTATTAAACATTGCCTCATATCGAATTCGGCTGCCTGTAAAACACATTATGATTCAAACTGTGATGCCTGTAAAACAGGGTCATGTGTCAAACATTGTCACAGTGTTTTTAGCTCTGTTGCGTGTCTCTGTTGAACAACGCCGGTGTATATTAAACATTGAAATACATCTAACACTTCTATTTGTATAACTTTCATGTGTCGTACACCGTGGTTACGTATGCTTCTGTGTCGAACACCACATGTAAGAAGTATTTATACAAATATCATAATCACCATTTTCATGTTTCCTCGCGTACCAATATATCTTCCATGGTTCTGTATTTACTAAAGTACTAATAATTAAATTTTTCCAATTCTTATTAGTTAACTTATATTTACTTATTTTATTTCAAAAATAACTTATATTTACTTACAAAATAATGTAGTACAGTGTTGAGATTCATCAAACCAAATAAGTAATTTAAATTTTGGCCATGGATCATTTGATAGAAGCTCTTGGGAGGAAGAAAAGGATTACAACAATATTGATCATGTATTTGGAGATGTTGAATTTATTTACTTTGATGACAATGATATTATGCTATTTTTCTCTAAGTAAACGCTTAAAAAAGCGAAAAAGATCATGGGATTGTTATGAAAGGGGTTTAATCAGAGAAGTGAATTTTCAAAGAACTATTTACACAAGTGATGTGGCTTGTATTGAGAATACAAGGTTGGACAGGGCAGCTTTTCATAAACTATGTGAGAGTTGAAAGGTACTGGTGGATTAGTTCCCACTCGTCATATGTGTATTGAGGAGTTAGTGGCCATGTTTCTACACATATTGGCTCATCATGTTAAGAATAAAATGATTAAAAGACAATTTGTTAGATCCGGTGAAACGATTAGGAGGCATTTCATGAATGTTTTACTAGCTATTGTGAAGTATCTTAAAGAATTGTTAAAACAATCACAACCTATTTTGGATAGCAGTGTTGATGAAAGATGGAAATACTTCAAGATATAAAGTTAAATTCCATTATCTATGATTTTTCATTATTATGAGACTTAATCTTTAATTTTGAAATAATAACATTTGTAGTTATGTCAACTTATAGAATTGTTTAGGAGCTCTTGATGGAACTTATATCAAGGTCAATGTGCCGGAAACTGGCAAAAGTAGATTCAGAACTAGGAAGGGTGATATAGCGACAAACGTACTAGGTGTGTTCCCCGGATTTGCAATTTTTATATGTGTTACCCGGGTGGGAGGGTTCAGCAACTGACTCCAGAGTCCTTAGAGACGATATTTCTCGACCAAATGGACTAAGTTTCTCAAGGTATAACATCATGAATTCAAGTTTGTATAAAACATGTCTTGCATATTTATAAGATAATAACTCTAATCTTATCGGTGAGGATATTATTATTTATGTGATGCTGGATACATGAAAGTGGAAGGTTTTCTCACTCCGTATAGAGGTCAAAGATATCACCTAAGTGAATGGAGGAATGGTTTACAACCGGCTACACCTAAAGAGTTTTTCAATATGAAACATTCATCGGCTAGAAATGTAATAGAAAGATGTTTTGGACTTTTGAAGGGACGATGGGCTATATTGAGAGAGAAGTCATTCTACCCTCTAAAAACTCAATAAGAATTATAACAGCTTGTTGTCTTCTACATAATCATATTCGAAAGAAATGACACGAGGTCCATTAGAAAGGGATTTAGCAGATGTTAAGTCTTCTAACGAATTCCTGTTTGGTGAAATGATAACAGTGGTGGAGCCAAGTAATGCATGGAGTCACTGGAGAGATGATTTAGCATTGGAAATCTTTAATAGATAGAGAAGTGGAAATCATCATTAAATTTTGTGGTCGTTATTTGTCTTTTCTATTTTGTATGATTTTTTCAATCTTAATTGTATTAATGCCTACGACTAAATGGTTCATGAAATAAATTTGTATGTCTACTGATACTTTTGTTTTCATAGTAGTATTTTTTATGTAGTAAATGTTAATTGGTGCTCTATTTTGGATAGATGGGCGACTCATCTGAAAACCAAAATGCGCACAAAGCGACAATGGACTGCAGAAGAACATGATATATTAGTCAAAGGTTTATTACAATTAGGACGACAGGTGGAAGGCAGATGCAGACACATTTAAACCAGGATGTACTAAAGTGCTAGAAAAGTATTTCCATAAAAAAAAATCCAAACTGCAAATTTAAAAGCTACTCTCACATTGAATCAAGAGTGAAACGTCTAAAATCACAATATTCAGCAATCAAAGATATGATGAGTCCAAGTGCAAGTGGCTTTGGATGGGATGATGCTAAGAAGATGATTGTAGTAGAGAAGGAGGTTTATAGCCAATGGTGCAAGGTGATATTTCATTTCAAATTCTAACACTATATAATATATTTTAGTTTATGCTTTTCCAAATATATTTATAGTTCATACATGTTTACTTCAATGCAGTCTCATCCTACTGCAACTGGTTTATATGGAAAACTATTTCCACACTTTAACAACTTGGATGTTGTATTTGGAAAGGATAAAGCATACGATCATGCATCAGAAAGTCCAGCAGAACATGCTTATAATATCATGAAAGAATTTTTTCAACCAACGCAAGGGAGTGAGTTTGAATTCAATTTGAATGAAGGTGAAGAGAATTATTATGAGTCACAAATACCAGAAACACCTACCTATACCGATACTCAAGCACCAAGTCAAGTAAGCCAATCACAATGCGAGGCTACTTCAAGTAAGACTGGATAACGTGCAGGCAAAAGGGTAAAGCATAATGATGATGTTTCTGATAGCTTATTAACTTCATTGAACAAGTTAGGTGAATTTTATGCTGGAAATGTGGAGAATATGTAACAACTTACATCTTGTTTTCTGCACGAAAAACACACGGCTGATAGGAGGAATCAAATTGTCTCTATTTTAAAAGAAATAGAAGGATTACAGGCGGTAGATGTGATAAGGGCTGCTATGCTTATCACTAAAGACAACAATCTTTGTGACTGTTTTTTCACTATGGATACTCATGAATTAAGGAAGGAATTTGTGAAAATTGTTTTAAGTAACACTAGTTCTTAGTGAAATTTAGAATTTTAATGTTTTTTGAATTTAGTAAAGTAAACTCATGTGAACATTGTCTTTATTGGCTTTATTTGTTTTAGTTTCTCTTAGTGCTTCATTCTGTTTTGTTTATTTTCCGATTTGTTTCTATAATTATGTGATTATGTTTCTACTAGTGTTTCATTCTGTTATTTAATCTTTTGATTTGTTTATATACTATGTGTTTTTGTTTCTGTTAGTGTATCCTTTTTCATTCTGCTACTGTGTACATTTTGTCTTGAAACTAACAAATAAAATTCTGTGTTGAAAGCTTTGAGCTAGTTGATCCAAAAACTATAAATGGTTTATTGTTAAGATCTACCATGACTCAGTGGACTGAGCCATCAACTTTAATTTCATAGAACTGCCAGGGGTATCAAGGCATAGTGAAAGAAATGTGGGTGGCTATTGAACTGTAAGTTTCAAATCAACTGATACGCTGATAATTAATAGGTTGGCTATTTCTTGGAGGAATGCAAAAGCAAATTATTATAATATCCTTCATGAAATATACTCCATGCAGGGAGTCTGTTATGTATGTATTTCTATAGGTGTTGGTTTGTATCTTAAGTTGCAAACATGTGATTAGGTGGTGGATATGTGTTTTTATATGACTTATAAGTACATAATTGGGTGGATTAGACCCTTCATAGACCCTTCATTGAGATTTATTATCTCATTGATTAGTTGATTTTGCATAAAAAGATAATAGTTATAATCAAACCATAGTAAAAAAAAAACTAAACTTAAACCACAAATGGCATGATGAGATATATGGGTTGTGATATTCAATCTATAGAGTGATCAAATAAATTATTGGTTTTAAAGTTCTTTCAGTTTGTATGATAACTATACAGAATCAAAGTTGTCAATGTTTTTGTAGACAAGTGCCTCTCATTTGGTTTGGTGAATTTTCCGTCTTTGTAATGAATTTTGTTATCAAATATATATGAAGGGTATTTTAGTGATTTTAAATTTTTTTCTGGGATTATAAATTGCAAATCAAACATGTTTTTACTTATTCCCAGGCATTTTCAAATAAATATTCCAAGAGCTCAAATTAATAACCAAACACTTTTTTAAAATGTTCCAAGGAATATAATTCCAATCATTTTATTCTTGGGAAAATTATTCCAAGCAATACTTTTTCCATCCATGAAACAAACGCACCCTAAAACATATCTGTTTGTTTTATATTCCTACCTATCATATTTCTCTTTTAACATGACAGTTAGTGGTTCAAAACATTGACGAGCCTTTGAGGATTTTCTGTTGTCAGTAGTAGGAGGTTCTAGGAGGAATCTCATCTTGTTAGTGCAGAGGAGTGTTTTAAGCCGATGAAGAACGATAGCCTAAGACCAGGGAATACAGTATCTAAAAGTGTTGTGCACTGAAATAACCATAAATCGAATTTAAAACAGCAACAATATAACAACGATATAGCCTATTTTAGATGATTCAGAGAATATTAAAGCTAGTTACTACCTAAAGCTGAAAGGCTGCGGATAAAAAGGTCCTGTGAATTTCCAGGATCAGGCTTCAATATTACCTGAGTTTAGAAGCAACCAATAAAGCAATTATAGAAATGGTAGTAAGTTATCCTAGAGAAGAAATATAAGATTTCAAATTCTGAATTTAACATGACATTGAAGATAACCTGAAATTGAGTGTGTTTTTGGAGCCTATTTGGGTTTTCTCCATATCGACTATCATCAGGGCGGACGCTAGGTTCCACATACCTTTCGCCGGGAAAAACAAAAACACCATGAATTTCAAATCCAAAACCCTAACATTCCCCATTCAATACTAATATGTAAGGATAACAAAATTAGTAAATAGTAAAGTATTAAATATTAAAAACATATAGCATCCACTTGAGTCTCAACTATATTAGGCTTAGAAGCAAAAGTTTTTCTGCTAAAAGACTTTTTGGAGATTCCCTGGTTTCCTTATTTCCCTGTATATTCTGACCCAATTGCTTATAGACATTTCGATTAGCAAATACGGAATGCTTGCTGTAAATAGTGTGTCTAATCCCTAAAATATAAGGATTAAACTAAGTAATAAAGTAGATGTAAAATCAAAGCTTGAGAGTAATTCTTTCAATAAATAGTGAAACACACCAGTCAACTCTCAAGTAAAAGATCCTTCAAATGAAATACAATCACATAAATGGAATTCAGTAACCTTTATCTGCTATACTATAACTCTTTGTTCCTACAGGAGGGATAGTAAAAGACGTGTTGAAGTTATGGGATTTTAGAGAAGGGAGGGAAGAGAAAGAACAAAAGAGTTTGAATCGTTATTATGGTTAGATAAATAGAACAAAATACTAAGCACTAACATATTTGTACTGACACCAGACTTCTAATTCTAACAAATAGGGAAACAAATCATCATAAGAACTAAGAAACATAGACACTAAGTCAAAAAAATAATACAATACACTTGAAGATATTATAAGATATCTTCGTATCATCACAACTCTTATAACTTTTAATCTATTTCACTAGGAAGAAGGATATGAAAAATCCATTCATTTCCAAAACTTTATCCGGGGAAAAGCGTTGAATTGAACCAAATAGATATTTTTAGAAAAATCGATGCACAAGCAAACCGATGAACTTACATCTAAAACATACTTACGCAACATTCCATGGTTCTGGACCGAGAACTCTTAAATATGTAAGAGGATTCATAGTCCCAGCTCCAACCTGCTCAATATAGCCAAAAATAAATACATAAATAAATCAAAAACAATTATTGCATCAGTATAAATTAGTAAATCCAACCGACATATTGAGAATGCAAAATTAAAAGCCAGTCCTCTTATAGCACATTAAGATTTTGAAAACAAAATGCTATGAGCTATCAGTTGTAGTTTAATTAAACTACTGTATTGCAGATACAAGTATCAAAAAGAAAGAAAAGAAAACAGAAATGTAGGGTAAAAAGGTCAAAATGGTATTGCAGGAAGTTGGTTAGTTACCTCAGTGTTGCTGCATTGCATTATGGAACATCCAACAGAAGCCCAATATTCCTGCAAACACAAAATTAGATGCAAATTATGAATTAAAATAAAAATTAAGAAATAGATGAAGTGGAATTGGTGAATGGTTTGGACCTGAAGGCGCTGAATGGCTTGCTGGAAAGTGAGGGAAGAGAGGTTGTGATTGTGAAGCGTGGAAGTGGGAGATGGTGGGGAGTGTTGAGAGAGAGAAGTTGAATGTGAAGGTTGTTGAGGAGTGGTTGTGGCGGATGCGGTGAGAGTGGGAGTAGTGAAACGGCGGCGGCGTAAGAGTGTGGAGTGGAGGCGGGTGGTGGAGGTGAGGGGTTTGAAAACGGAGATGACGAGTGGGAGAGCCATGATACTGATACTCATCATCTCGGCGCGGATAGGAATAGGATTGGCTTTTTGTTTTTGTAGAAAAATTAAACTTTAATTAATCCTTGCAAGATCAAATGTTGAGTTTTGTTAATGGATGGTTCATGTGGTAAATGTTAAACAATTTTTTTATTAAAATTAATTGAAATTTGAAATGGTGAATAAAATCTAGTTTAATAGGTTTTGTCAAATTACCTTTTTTTTTTTCAATTTAGTCCTCACAAATTAAAAATTAAGTTTTTTTTTTTAAGCTTATAGTGGTTTAGAAATTTTACTTTGTGTTAAAGGTGATTTTTGTGGATCAATGTATTTGTAGATACATTATTTTTTGGTGATGACGATATTATGATATGAAGTTTGTGTCATTCAATAATAAGATGTTTAAAATGTTTTGAGATTAAGATGTTAAAATCAATTTCTCTAAGGACAACACCTAATGATAAGTAGCGTTCGGTGAAATCTCTAATGATCTTTAGTCAAGCAATGTTTGATAATGGTGTCTATCAGAAAGTCTTATTCAACGTCATCAGTTGGAAGAAGTCAAGCCTCATATCAAGTGTTGAATCAATGATGAATTAGGTAAAGGATCTTTAAGCTCCAAAGATTGTGAAAGAGAATAAGTGTGCAATCTCACATAGTTCATGTTTAAGTGATTAGAATATTGTAAAGTTATAAGAGTAACTCTTAAAAACTCACCTAAAGTTTTTTAAATCTATCTAAAATTATTAAAAACACCTTAAAACCTATAGAGGAATCATCAACGTACTTGTGAGACTAACCAGGAATGTTCATGATCATTTAGAAAGTTTGTATACACTTTGAATTGAGTATGGGCCTTAACCAATTGATTAGATTAAGCATGAGACTTCTTAATTGATTAAGACATTCGTAGTTGTAGGTTTTCCTTTTAGATAGTGAGGGTTGTCATTTTTTTAAGCTAATAACATAATTGGTTGATCTTATGGCTTGATCGATTATGTCATTTAAAGGCTCGTGAATATTTTTTCTTTTTGAGTCAACTTTTCTCCTATAAGTAGAGGGTTTTTTTCTTACTTTCAAAACACACCAGGAAATGTATTTCTACATACTTTCTCAATGTTTACTCTCTCATTTCTTTCTTTTCACAAAATTGTCTTAGTATTATGAGAGTGAAAAATGCTAAGTGAGGTTTATGTGTGTTATAGTATTGGGTTTATTCTTGAAACTTATACATGAAAACTTTGTCTCATGTCTAATATCTCTTGTGAGAAGTTATCGTTTTATTTGTAAGCAAAATCAATAAAAACACTTATTTGGTTCATGAGATTGTCCGTTAAAATCTCAGTTTGGTTTGTGAGCTTAGCCTGATGTTAAATATCTCATGTGATTCGTGAGACTGTCCATTAAAGTCAATGTTTGGTTCGTAAGGTCAACTTGGTGCAAAAGCTCTCGCTTGACTCTGAGATTATCTTGGTGTAAAATCTTGAGTTTGGTTTAGAGGATAGTCGTTGTAAAACTCAGTTTAGTTATAAGAATGTTTGTGAGCATAATCAGTGAAAAGCTCACATCTGATATAGTAGAAACTCTTAATAAAAAATTCTTGAGCACATATGTAGGCCAAGTGGTTAAAACTAACTTGTATAAATCTTAGAGTGATTCTCTTAACCTTTATCTCTTTATATTTTTGCATTCTCTAGATTTTATTTCTTTATTTATTATGTTGCTTATTCTTTGTTTGGTTTGCAAAATTGTTTTAAACAATTTTATTTATCACTTTTTTTAATTGCACATCGCCTTTTAAACATCCATAATGCACCCTTTCTCCCTTTTTTGTATTTGGAGCCACTTGTCCAACAAGGAGTACCAGAGCCTAACTCTCGTTATAAGACTAATCCTCTCAAGATGTAAAATGATGACTTCAAACAATTCTTTTAATTTGAAAACTTGTCTAAATACACCTCCACATTTTAATGGTAAAAGGTTTAACATATAGAAAGCTATAATGAAAATCTTCATGTAAGCTAATAACTCTGAATTGTGGAACAATGTAATTAATGGTACGTTTATTCATACTTTTAGTGTCAATAATTAAGTATTAAACAAACTTATTTTCTTTAGAATGAATGATGCATGATAAAAGTAAACTTTGATTTTAAAGGTAAGTACTTAATGATGAGTGCTCTGATTATCAGAGAGTGTCTTTTCGTTTTAAATTGTAATTCTTTCAAGGAAGTATGAGACACAGTTTAAATTATCCAGAGATTTTCTCAGGATCAAACAAAAGAAAATGAACATATATATCCAAGAAGATGAGACATCAAATGAACATGAAGGTCATGTTCATAGATGATTCTCAAACATTGGAATCCTTGGAGTTGTGTGAAAAACTTTATATCTAACAAATATCTCATATTCAATAATTGGGAACATAAAACTAATCCAACCATTGATCCAAAAGATAGTAGTGTTTTGTTGAGTTTCAAAAAAATCCAAGAAGAAGGAGATTATTGAGAAACTCGATGAATTAATCCAGATGTTAAAAGATGTAAGAATGAATTCAATAACATTATAATAGTCATCATCAACTTCATTTTCATCATCAGAATAAATAATATAAGGATCAACACCAAAATTGTCTTTTAAAAGAACAATCACGATAAATGAACAATCATCCACATAAACACCATTTTATGGAAATAATGAATAATCTTCATCCAGCAGAATTCTTGAGCTGGCATCACAACATATTATGTACCCATGGAGACCCACCAAACCCGCCCCAAATTTGACGGGGAAAACACGCTTTTATATATTTTGGGTTTTAGTTCAGTGTTGTACCCCAATATTTTCCCTCTCTTTTCTTAAGGCATTTCTCACAAAGATTTCCAAAAGCTCAAGTTTGCACAAGTACAATTGGACTTTTTAATGCCCCAAATAGTTCCCATGAATAATATTGGATTTTTAAGCATTTGGTCGAAGAGGAAACTGTCGAAAGGGCAAAGCATATAAAATAAAAAGTGTGCAGCTGCAGATAACTATGTCAAATTCAAAATATGGTTCAGGCTGGTTAAACTACATCACTGATCGAAAGGGTTGGTTGGCAGAGTTTTGACAAATCGAAGAAGGATAAGCTTGCTTCAATTTCCCAAGTTTCGACTAGGAAATGGCTTCCTTCATGCTTGCTTTGATCCACAAAGCAATAGCTTCCTTCATGTTTGCTTCGATCCACAAGACAATGGCTTCCTTCATGCTTGCTTCAATTCACAAAGCAATGGCCTCCTTCATGCTTTCTTCGATCCATAAGGCAATGGCTTCCTTCATGCTTGCTTCGATCTACCTCTAAACCCTTCGACACACATAGTTTTTACACTATGAATTACAATTTGAGGTTTGGACATTTGAACTTTCAACCACTTAATCAACTGATGGTTACTGGTAGAAAAGCAATCTAGAAATCCTTTCATTTTGACTATGCCAATGAGATCATCTTCCATACTCAAAGTGGTACATACAAGAACATACAATTGGTGGATTCAAAGAACATACGATTGGTGGTCCATTCGAAGAACATATAATTGGTAGTCCATTTGAAGAACATACAATTGGTGGTCCTTTCGAAGAACATACAATTGGTGGTCCATTCGAAGAACATACAATTGGTCCATTCGAAGAACATACAATTGGTGGATTTGAAGAACATACAATCGGTGGTCCATTCGAAGAACATACAATTGGTGATCCATTAGAAGAACATACAATTGATGGTACATTAGAAGAACATACAATTAGTGGATTCGAATAACATGCAATTGGTGGTCCATTCTAAGAACATAATTGTTGGAAGCAATATTGTTTTGTCTGTTGATAAGTTTGGTCGAAGGTTTGTGGATCTATATGATCAAAACGAAAGGGTGAAGTATTCAAGATGCTTGTTGAACAAAGTCTTATATGCTGCCAAGCCCAAGCTTGTTGTACTGTCCATATAACAGCCTAAAACCATATCAAAAAGCAGTCTGTTGCATTGCTATAAAACAGTCCTGCCCCAAGCTGCCACAACACTCCAAAACTGTTGCAAAATAGTTCTGCTATGCTGCTCCTAAACCAGTCCCATATTTGCACCAAACTAGCATATAAGAGTTACACCTCGAAAGCTATGAAAAGAGGATACCCAAATTGTTCAAATTTTATTTGTCCCCCCTTAAAACCCCAGCAAGACTCTTCTATAAATAAGTTGTTTCACAACACACAAAGGGAGGCTTTTGAGCAAGGAAAAAGGAGAAGAAGAAAAAAGAGAGAGGAGTGAACATGAAGGTTGAAGCCTTGAAACACTCTTAAACCCAAAAACAAAAAAAACACAACACCTTTGTTCTTTCCATTCGAACCCATAATTAAAAAAACACAACACCTCTGTTCTTTTCTTTCGAAACCAAGAGCATTCAAGGCAGCAACTCAAGTTCGAAGTACACATTCCAGCTTCAAGGTAAGTCTTTTTGACTTTAAACCTTTCGTTTCAAGCATCATTGATGATTAACCTTCAAAGATAACATGTAATAACCACTGCATTCGAAACTAACCTTTTTCTTGTCTTCTTTACTTGTCAATTATATATTAAAAACTAACTTGTACAGACTATAAAAACAATATTGGAGTGAGAAATTACATCATAGTTCGACACAAAGCCTTAGGCTTCGACACACACTGCTTTACAGGCCAAAACAGAAGAAAAAAGAGCGTGTGAATAGAAGGGTGCATGCTTTGAACATACTGCATGAATCGAAAGATTTGTTTTTTCTCTATGAATTGAAGGGTGCATGCTTTGAACATACTGCATGAATCGAAAGATTTATTTTTTTCTCTTTTGCGTTCTTCTTGTTTTTTTATAAATATTTTATATATATATTCTTTCATTGCTATTCAATATGGTTGTAATAATTAGGACTTTTATTGCTTTCCACCCCTCATCTGTAAATTTGTATACCCCATCCCCAAATTATGTAATAGCGTAGGACATTTATTTTCCG